AGGCCTGGTTTTCCTCTCTAGGAAGTCCAGCCACAAGTGAGCATCCCTGGGGGCGGGGGGGATGGTGGTGCTGGCAAGTGAAAAGGATTCAAAGTAGGTAAGCAATAGATGTAAATCAGCCCTGCCTTTAAAGGACCTTAGAGTGATCCTGTCAGCTAGGCCCATTCACAGCTAAGCAAACTGAGGCTGAGAGGGGAGCAGCAAAAACCAGGCACGGTGGTCACACTCAGGAAGCTGAGGCATGAGGACTGTCTCAAGTTTGAGGCCAGCCTGGGCTATATAGTCAGGCCCTGTCTCAACAACAACAAAAACCTCACTAGTGCAGGGCCTGGTGACACACACCTTTCATCTCAGCACTCGGGAGGCAGAGGCAGGCGGGTCTCTGTGAGTTCAAGGCCAGCCTGGTCTACATAGCAAGTTTAGGGCAACAGGGAGACCCTGTCTCAAAAATGAAAGACAATGTCAAGTTGCTGGGGCTCTAGCTCAGTTTGTAGAGGGTTTGCTTAGCCAGCTTGAAGTCCTGGGGTCAATCCCCAACACATAAACTTAGCCTGATGGCACATACCTGTAATCACAACACTAGGGAGGTGGAAGCAGGCAGATCAGAAGTTCAAGGTCATCTTCAACTACAAAGTAAGTTTGAGGCCAACCTGGGCTATAGGAGACCTTACCTCAAAAACACCTTAACCTTAAAAACCCAAACGATGAGAGTCTGGAAACCCTGCCACTAGTCAGCTTGCTTTGCTCTGGCTGTGGGACCTGGAGCCCCACTGCCGCCATCTCTCACTGGCAGTCTCCAGCCTGCCCTACAGGCCTCCCTCTCAAGAGCAAACTGCCCCAGAGTGAAGCAAAGTTGCTCTGCCTACACAGTGTGTGCTGGACTAGGGCTCACACCTACCCTCCCCTGGGCAGGAGTTCCTCTGTCTGTCTTTAGGCCCTTGGAGGTGCAGGGAGTGGGCTGAGGGGGACCCTTCTTGCTCACCACTGAGGAAGAGCCAGCTGCACCAGGCCAATGCCATCCTTCACCCCAGGTGGATGTCCGAGATGGTTGGTGGTGATGGCGTTCCTGTCTCACAGACCCTTCCTGGTAGAAGCTTGGCTCGGTCTGCCACTGGTCCTGGGATCGTTCGGCAATTTGGAACCGGGGCAGATCACCGGAATTTGGAGGGATCGAGTCACAGATGATCTGGGGCCCTGTTTGGGCATGGGGATGGGTGTGGCGAGCACCGGCCAGAGGCCATGACCTGGCCAGGCCTCCTGGGGCAGCTGCCTAATCCACTTTGTGCCAAAGGCCCAGATTTGGTACCCAAGAGGAGAACCAGGTCACCGGGGAGGGAGGAGGGACACAAGAAGATTCTGGGGCAGCTTTTGACCACCATGGCTATGGCTTCACTGCTGCACAGTCCAGGGTCACGGAGGGGCCCAGGACAGAGCCTTCTGCTCCTCCAGCCTCGGTGGCTTTAGAAAGTGACCAGCGTCACCTCAGTGGATGGCACAACAACTCTGTGCATTGGGTGTCCTTAAGACTCTCATTTGCCTGGAAGGTAGAGCCAGGAGAAAATCCAAAGTTCAAAGCTATCCTCAGCTATGTAGTGATTAAGAGGGTAGCCCAGGCCACAACGAGACCCTGTCTCAAAAAAATCAAATGGGGGAAAAAAAGGACTTTTTTTTGAAACAGGGTTCCGTGTAGCCCAGGCTAGATTTGAATTTATTATGTAGTCAAGGGTGGCCTTGAACACCTGATCTTCCCACAGCTACATTGTGAGTGTTGGCACGATAGGAGTTTGCTACCATACCTGATTTATGGGGTGTGTGGGGTGGAGCCAAGCTCTGCGCTCCCCCTGCTCTTTTTCCTTTTCTTTTTCTCTCCTCTTCCTTTGTGTCTCCTCCCTTCCCCTCTTTGTTCATACACCTATCTGCTCAGCATCTCGCTGAGATACATGTGGACACCAGGGGACAACTTTGTGAGGTCTCCTCTGTTTCTATCACCTGTCTTCCGGGGATCAAACTCAGCTTGTCAGACTTGGCAGCAAGTGGGTTTACCCACCACGGAGCCACCTTGCTGGTATCCCCCACCCCCTTTTGGTTCTTTCTAGACAGGGTTTCTCTGCATAGCCCTAACTGTCCTGGAACTTGCTCTGTAGACCAGGGTGACCTCGAAGTCACAGAGAGCCACCTGCCTCTGCCTCCTGGGTGCCAGGATTAAAGAGGAGAGCCACCATGCCCGGCTTTATTTCTTAATTACATGTATGTGTTGTGTTTGTCTGTGTGAGTCTCTCTGCACATAAATGCAGGTGTCTGTGAAGGCCAGGGGTGTTGGAGCCCCTGGAGTTATGAGTTGTAACCTCCCAGGGTGGGTGCTGGGAAGTGAACTCGGGTGGTCTGGAAGAACAGCCCACCCACTTAACAGCTGGGCCCCTCTTTCTCTTACGGCACAGGTCTCACAGTACAGTTCAGGACGGTCCGTAACTCATTCAGTAGCTCAGACAAGCCTTGAACTCATGAGCCTCCTGCTTTAGACTCCTGAGGGCTGGGGTTACAGATGTGAACAACCATATCTGACTCAGATTTTATTTTCTCGTCTTTTTGTTGTTGTTGTTATTGCTATTTCATGACAGGGTTTCTCTGTGTAGCCTTGGCTGTCCTGGAACTCACTCTGTAGACCAGGCTGGCTTGGAATTCATGGAAATCTGACTGCCTCTGCCTCCTGAGTGATGGGATTAAAGTTCTGCACCACTATACCCAGTTTTTTTTGTCTTTTTCATATTTTATTTATTTATTGTTGAGGGTAGGTCGTGAGATGCTCCTGCCACAGCCAGCTTGTGAGGCCAGAGGATCACTTATTGGAGGAGTCAGTTTTCTCCTTTCATCCTGTGGGCTCCAGGAACGGAACTCAGGCCATCCTCAGGCTAGGTGGCAAGTGTCCTTACCACTGAGTCATCGAGGCCAGCCTGGTCCACGGAGTGAGTTCCAGGACACCCTCCAAAGCAATACAGAGAAACCCAGTCTCAAAAAACCAAAAACCAAAACAAAACTGTGTGTGTGCATAGCTCTTTTGTCTGCATGCATGTCTGTGCAGTGCCCATGGAAGCCAGAAGAGGGCAGCAGATCCCCCAGGACAGGAGTTACAGACATGTCAGTTGCTATGTGGGTGCTGGGAATTGAACCTGGGTCCTTTGGAAGAGCAGCCAGTGCTCCTAACCAGTGACCCATCCCTCCAGCATATTCATTTGTATATAATTTTCATAACAATCTAGAAGTGACTGGAGGCACAGTGGGTGGAGGATGTTTTAAACTCTCTGTCATTTATAGGAATACCTCCAGCAACTGTAAATTTTAGTGTCTCTAGGGGCTCTTGGAGCCAGTGTCCCCTCCAA